AAGGACGGGGCTGCTCGTCACAAAATTTGAAAAGAACCCCTTAGAGGTACCATGTACCAAGATCCTGTTTGGTGGACTTGGTTTGAAATCTTTTTTTGTTTTTTTTTTTCAACCATAAGAGGTACCAGCTCTAAAACAACGCATTATCTCCTGTCATATTTTTAAGGCTCAATACTTCAAAAGGAGCCACAAGAGGTCCCGCTGTTGACCTTCTGAGGCTGAACACTCCAAAACCACGTTTTCAACCCTTTATAGGTACTACTAGCACCCCTGTTTTTTTTTTGTTGTTTTTTTGTTTATTTTTTTATGGTAATCCCCCTTCCTCGGGGGTAGAGGTCTATGCTCTGCCACCGACATTGATCTTTACAACGCATCAGGATTTGTGATATGTTTTGCGGAACGATATGTAGTTTATGAGTTCTCAGAAGTATTCACCCTCTGTTCATATTTCTAGGTATTTGGCCATAATGCATTCGTTGCGCTACACGTCAATAGTCACCCTCTCAAGATGCGTTTCCGTAATCCTGTTTATCTGGATCTTGTCAGCGGCAACTGCTTTAGTTCAGCTAAGCTGGATGGACATAGCTCACCACGATGTGTATCAAATCCCCCCTCCTGACGTCATCAGGCGTGAAAACATCTACGACATCACGTGTCTTCTTGTGTTTTTCCTGGCCCCACTTTTGTGCATGGTTTTCGTCTACGCGAAGATCTTCGTCGAAGTGTCACGACAGATCGACCTAGTTCAAAAGCGAAGTACTCCAGGTTGGGAAGAAGCAAAAGCGATAAAAAACACAGAAAAGAAAGTTGTTACAATTTTTGCGGTAATGTTGCTGGTTTACACCGTAGGCTGGCTGCCTTATTTCATCCTGCGACTTCATCATCTGGAGCAACTACCGCCTCTTGTTATTTACATCTGCATATGGCTTCGATTTTTGACCTCATTTCTCAACCCATGTCTGTACGTCTTTGGCAAAAGAGACTTCCGTGCGGCTTTGAAACGGAGAAAAACAAGAAATTTACATTATGGCCATCTGTTACCACTTGATCGTATTGGAGCCGAATAGGAGGAAAATTGCATTGCGGTTAGAAATCGTATCTCATTCAATTTTCGACTAAACTGGCAAAGTGTATGACATAGATGTTAGTTTCTAAAAAAACTTTGTGGGTTCT